TCACTGGGCAAAAACAGGCTGCAGCCTCCCGCACCCCTCTTTCGGGTAGCTCCTTACACTCCAGGGTCTGTGGTTAACCCCTCTCGCTCCAGCCTCCTCCACTGGAGTTTTCCCGGCGGGGCTCCTGCGTGCGCTGGGCTTGGGCCGACCCCCCCTGCCCGGCCCCAGCTGCATCCCTGCGCTTCGGGGAGAAGGTGAAACAGCAGTACGGATAAATCGATCTGCCCTCGCGTCTCACGCGAAGGCCGCCCCGTTCGCCTCCCCCTCTGCCTGCGCCAGCAATGTCACCGAGCTGCTCCCTTGCAAGGACACTTCCAAGGCGGGGGAGCGGGGATTTGCAAGACACCCGTCATGATCGTTTATTCTTGTCATTTCTGACCCTCGGGGTAAGCAGAACATCAGAGCACTGCAGGCACAAAACAACAAGCTTTGTAGGTCATATCAGCATGTAAAGTGCCATTAGGAACCGCAGCACGAAGCGTGAATAATACTCCCTTTATTTCACCGTACACCTCAGCATCCTTTAAAGAAATGCAAATGGTTATTTACGGACAGGGTTTGTATGCAATGCCTGCTCAGGAACATGGGGCTAAAACGGAACTGGAGCAGTAAGTTTGCTTTCTCCCCTATATACAAGTCAGAGACACCACAGTGCTGACAGTGTTAGTGATAGCCCAAGGGATCCCAGGCAAAAGAAGAGCAGAGAGATCACTGTAAATCTTCCCCACACAGATTTATGCTCTACCCATTAAGCCAGAGCCTCAAAACACATGTCCTTCCATGCTACCGTCCTCTCTGTGAAGGATGGCAGGGCAGGAAAAACTTTGAAGGCCTCCAAGCCTGGAAAGGGACCTTCAAGAACCGATCGCATCATTTCTGAAAAGCTGTAAACAGACAGCCTCGAGTGCTTTCCTTAAATCCTTTCAGCAAATAATGACCTCGATTGCCAAAAATTATCTGATAATGCAAAAGCAGTGAGAGATGTGCAGTGAGTCATCATCTCCCAGGCACATCGCGCTCCCTTTTGTCTTCGCAGTGACATAAGCCGCGGTCCCAGCGCGGTGAGGTGAGGTTGCCCCCAAGAGGCAAATCTGACGCAGCAACTAGAGAGGCAAAACGCTGAATTCTGTTTTGAAGGTACCACATAAAAAGAACTTTTTAAAAAGTCTCCTCAAACGCTCTTATTTTCACTTTTCCCTAGCTGAAAACATCTACAGATAGGGTGGGAGGGGAGGGGAAGGTCAACTTCGGCGTGTGTTTGGTTGGGTGTCATCGTGTTCTGCTGGAGCTCCTGAACCACACGACTTGTTTTCCTAGTCTCACAGCGTCATTAGAAAGATCAAAAAAGGTCACTGGGTTTTCTTCAGCCACATGAGACATTTGATCCCATACACCTCACTAGGCTACCTCAGAGCGAGGGCTGTCAGCACCTTCAACAGCAACTTCTGTCTCAGGACACGACAGACGGTCTGGAAACTGTTGAGATGACATGAAATCCCTCAGCCGTTCACATAAAGCGTGCAGGCAGCCCACTACCCTGGACCAAAATCCTAGCGTCTTGCAGGGGGTACAGGAGCAGGACGGACACCTGGGCTATCTCCCCAGCCCACCCCCCACCCTCCAGGGATCAGCAGCCTGAAGCTTTCTCAGCCAGCGATGGCCGCTTTGATTTTGTAGACCCTGATGGACCTTTCAGCTGCAAAATGCTCTTTGAACCTCTAAGCTTTTAGCATCCACAACACCTTGAGGCAAGCAGATCCCCAGCTCCTCTCTCCTTTTGTTTGCTTTGAGTCTTCCTGCTAATAAAAGAACTATGGAGTCTGAAGCCAAATTACAGAGCACCATTGAATAACTCCTCTCGATTTACCCTTTTTTAAGCCATTTGATTGTCGAGCTCTCCATCTTACTTCCCAACATTACGACTATTTCCAAGCTGGAGAGACGCAGCCAACTTAGGGCCGCTGCAATTTATTTCTGTCCCCTACATACACATGCAGATTCCCTCCCAAAGGGCTAAACCTGTGATATAACCTAGAATTTAACCATTCATGGAGCTGTTTTTCAGGACAGTTTAAATACCTCAGCTGAGATGTCTCCAGGGTCCTCACTGCTCCTGCGCCGAGCTTCTTGTGGGTCCCCCTGCCCCGCTCAGCCGGAGAACATCCCCGCATCCCCAGCGCCGAGCCCCTGCCGCAGCACCCCAGCTTACTGTCAGCTCCGAACTGGAAGCGTCATCTCCAAAATGACTGTCGCGCTGGCTCCTGCCAGACTCTTAATTACGAGGAAGGCTGACACAGTTTCTCAGCAAACGGCGTTCGTGTACTGTGGGGAAAAACAGAATGAGGCCAAGAGGAAAAATGGGCTAATAAGAGAAAAGCAACTGGAGGGTAAACCACTTTGTGCTGTGCAAACCTTACCATAACAATGCTGGAGCACAAAATACTGGAGAAAAAAAAGAAGTAGGTTAGTACACAGGGGAGGCAGGCAGCGCTCCACAAACGTGGAGCAGAGCCAATATGCAGCACAGCATCTCAGCATCCTCACCCGCCAGGCCTCTCCCCACAGCTTGGGTCAGGGCAAAGGGGACAGGTTCAGTTTCCAGCCCACAGATCAATGGGTCTGAGAGCCTGGACGATGCAGTCTGAAGACCCCACGGCCACCTTGCATGATTCACGCTGCCTTTATAAAAACCAGCAGTGTGAATAAAGAACAAAACTTAATGCCTAGCCATCCTCTCCCCACTGCTGAGGCTGGCAGCTTTAAGCTATTACTTTTATTCCAACCGCAGACTGGTGGTCAGCCTGGAGAAGAAAGGGAGCTCCTGCTCCTGCCTGGGCTTCGAGAGCCAGAACTTTCATCTCCAAGCAGGCTTTGAGAAAAGAGAGCCCGAGACCCAGAGGCAAAGCCGTGGAGCCTGCAAGCCAAGCCCCAGATCACAGCACTTGCTGCTCAGGTGAAGGACTCGCCCGGTAGCACAAAACCAGCGAAAAAAATCTATTTACCCTTTCTGCTTTTCTCTGCAAGAGGGAAGGAGCATCGCCCACCCGGCTTCAGGAAGCTGCAGCAGTGAATGCAAACCCAAAGGGAAGTGCTGGGAGAAGGGTGTGTGAAAATGGCCCCGTATCCTGTGGCCAGGAGCCCTCCCCTACGCACCATTCGGGCCAAACCTGCCTTGAAAAGCTTTAGGTCTGCCCCCAGGCTGATGCAGCCGCCCTGGTGACAATGAAGGGAACAATTCCAGCCGAGTTTCCATCCCCTCCCCTATGACCTCCCTATAGAGAGCTGGGAGGCAGCAGGGAAGTGGAAGGCGACGAAACGTGAGTAGCAGCTCACCACGTGGACACAAAGTAGTATAATATATCTGAACTTTACTTAAAAGCCACCTGAAAATACATCTTAACCAGCAGCCTACAAGTATGAGGACCAGCTTTCAGCATCCAGACCAAATCATCAAGACAGGGGGATGTGAATGTTTTTCTTCTCTTATGACCCAGCCCTACTTTTGACACTAGATAAAATATTCCCTTTCAAATTCCTTACTGCAAAGGCAAAGAAGTGCTGACTGAAAAAAAAAGTGTCAGGCAAAACTAAAAGCACCTCTACAAGGAGAAGCCCTTTGAGGAATTTATTTTCTGTAGGATCCTCCCCATCAGCAGCCCACACTGTGCCCCAGCACTGAAAGCCCTTTTCAACACTCTATAAGAAGGGCTCCCACCAGGAGAGCTGGCAAAACATCCACAAGGCAAAACATCCAGGTATTTCACAGCCTAGGGGGAAGATGGGAAAACGGTAATTTGAACGTCACGAAGAGCGTTCTGATAACTTAAACCACAAGGAATGAGCTAAATCCACTAATGACTGTCTGTCCTCTCCAGGCAGCTCCTTGGGAGCTCCCAGGGAGGATCCCACAGCACCTGCCCAGGCTCCTACAAGCTCACCAAGCTCTCCTCTGCCCCACACCAGCCAGTCCCGAGAGCCTCCTCTTTATCAGGACGCAAGCAAGCACTAGTATGTCAGTGCCAGCACCTGCCTCTCTGGCACAGTGGGGTTTCCCACTGGGGAGCCTTGGGCAAGAAGTTTCTCAAGAGCTCGTAAACCCAAGGAATAAGCCCCCAAAAGAACTAGGAGGGTTATCTCCAGCAGCAGCCTTTCTGATTTGCCCCTTCCCATGGGATAGAAAGTCACACAAACACTAGAAGCCAGTGGAAGAAAAGCAAACAAAAACCCAAAACACAAACCCAAACCACTGCTACTACGCTATACATGCAGTTCTCCTGGGAAAGAAGAAAAACAAACATACAAGACCAATGCTAATACTGTGGCTTGAAATGTTCCTGCTAGTGGCAGGGGGTCAGAAGAATCCTCTTCGTGACCCAACTATCTAGGAGTACTTGCTGGAATCTCTAAGAGGCAGCGTAGTCTCTCTTGCAGCCCAAGCTGCTAGGCTGAGTCCGAGACCCAGAGCTGGCTGCTGGACAATTTAAGCACAGGCACCTTTGACAGAGACACACTTGGCTTGTCTGTGCTCAGACAATTACCACTGCAGCATCCATCCCTCACTATTAAAAAAAAAAGTTGTTTTTTTTCCTCACACTGAGATGCTACCTCTAAAATCCTGTCACACAGCAATCTCACCAGCTGCTCCGCCAGTAACAACAGCACACTTCACATGCTTGTGCCAGTCATCTGCTTTTCCCAAAGGTATTCTCAACTCAACTGTGAGCTTTGAGGACTTCAGAGCGTTCCTGCAGCCGCTGCATCAATGAAGCACACATGTCCTACTGACCTTCAGCCAGACCTACCTGCGCGTCATTAATCACTCCTGAAATGCCCATCCATTACCAAGTTCCACAACGGGAACAGTGAGACTATGAGATGCGCAAATAGTTTTGCTGGCAGGTTTCTTAAAAAAAGAAAAGCTTCTGGCTTTAAGTTGAAGGCACACAGAGGCATGTCAGAAAATTGAAAAAAAAAAAAAAAAAGGCAAAGAGCCACAAATGTATATTTTATAGTCAACCTTTAATTTTTTTGTCTATTACTGCAATAAAGTGCAACTAATTTCACATGAAATGAGATAACATGGCTATTAATACAGCCATCATAGTATCAAAAGATAAACGTCAGTGCAAAATGCTTATCTGAAGACAATGAAAGCAGTTAAGACATTTACTGTGCAAACAGCCTTTCCAATGCATGTAACTTCTGGCTGGGGGCCAGTAAATGAGTCGGCAAAACACAATGGCAGCAGGTTTGCTATTTCCTTTCCAGGAGTCCTGAAGCAGTGCTCCGCTCAGCAATCCCTTGCAAAGACTCTGCAGCAATGCTTTGCTATCGTCTCGGTAGGGACACTGATGAGCTCCAATTCAACCCACGTCTAGACTTCAGCAACTGGGGAATTACTACTCGGCTACAAAACAGATGGAAGAAAACTCCAGACAAAGCAGGAGGGGGAGACGGAAAATGCCAGAATGTATACAACAGGCATTAGGCATGAAAACACAGGACTGGCTGAGCTAAGAACGATTTGAAGACTTTCTCCATTTATAGTAAGCTAATCAGCTGTGAACACAAGAATTACAACGTATGCCGTAAAACCAAAATAGGACCTGCAGCCATTTTTTTGTGGGCTGAGGCATGCCCATTATTTTCCAGGGACAGTTAATTAGAAAAGCATGTCTGATTTTATTTTTTCATTGTTCTATTAAGTAGAAGTAAATATCAAAGTGGTTATTTCATCTGGAAAGAAACCTCAGCAGTTTCAATGTGCTTTGAACTGCAGTACAAAAGCTGTTAATCTAAACCTTTCCCCTTCTCCAAAATATACAGGACAGCAACTTCAGCTTTACACGGTAAGAAAATATATACACATCACATACAGTAAACATGTTCTGCAATTTTTAAAAAACTTTATACAACATTAGTGAGAAAAAAAAACGTAAACATTAATAAAATTACATACAATATATTCAACAGAGGAAGCAACTGCTACCAGAAGGAAGGCTGACACACTGTCAAAGACACACAGAGCAAAGGATGGTGTTGTCATACATATCTAACACCATGTAATTTTTTTTTTTTTTTTTTTAGCCTAAAGCAGTTCTATTGCCAGAGATACCCTTTGAGGTAGATTCTTCCAATTTTTAAATAACATGTTGAGATTTAAAAAAGGGGATTTTCTCCCCCCTCTTTCCCCTCAAACAATGCCACAAGCATGACTTTTGTTTGAACAAAGATAAGATGATTAAGCTGTGAAGGGCACAGAGATGCTGCAGTCTTAGGCTAATTCTCTAACGTTTGAAATGAAAGACAAAATATTTAATATGAACTTGCAAATAACATACCATCCCTATAAGACACGTGCCTATTCTAGAGCAGTTCCTTTATAGGTAATAAGCATACCTAAAATTTCAAGGTGGTGCTTTTTTTTTTTTAGCCTTATTTTACATTTGGATCTTGGAAAGTTGTAGAAAATTTATCATACAAGACAGGACAGAGTAATCTACAAAATTTAAAAGGAAACAGTACTATAAAACACACGTTGATATTATTAAAAACCTCACTTGTTATGGGAATCCCAGTCGGTGCTTCTATACCAAATACCTTAACTTTCTCTTCATATATATACACACATCCTACAGACAAACCACAGTGTAAGATTTAAATGATGGCATCTGCACCAAGAGCACAAAAGGAGATCACATCTTCCTTTGATTATTTCACAAACAGCTCCTGGAGCTTTGTGCACATTTCGTGCGTGTGGCAGGACTTCACATGAAGGAATTCAGACTTCCTATGTCCTTCACAGTTTTCACATAGGTGGGCCAAATGCTCATCTCCTCAAATCTCCCTTGAGCTGAGACTTTAAGATTAGTATTTTCTCCATTTAGAGAAAGTGCTGAAGCCAGATAAACACAAATACGTTTGTTTCTTAAAGAGCAATACAACAATACTACTGGTGTAATAAGATCTCATTTATAACTTGATCTTATAAAAACACTTCCTGTACAGTCACATTCACTGCATAAATAAATTAATGCCTGAAAAATTAGGAAGTTAAAATGAATGCATCACTGTAATAACAAATTCCATTTTTTTATTTGATAAAACAATCACAGAGCAAAGAAGCATCCACTTAACCTGTTTGGGCACAACCATTCTTAAGCTCCATTTCCACCTTCGAGTGAAGATGAGGGCAGTCACTTGTTCACATGCAACTTCTGTATTTTGTATTTTTTGAGACATTGGATAGTCATATTGATTCTGCTTTGCAGATTAACATGTGCAGGCAATTCTGTTATTCAGCCCACTTCTGAACCACTTCCTCACCTCACAATAGGGGAGGTCTAACTGTCTAAACTCACATTCCATGTCACAAGGAAGTTCTTTCCCAGCCATCCTAAAACAATGCTTGCAGGTGTGTGCTGGCGAGAAAACTCATACATAGTGTTCAAATATGTCTTTTGATTAACAATGAAAACGAGAAAACTTCCTTAAGCTTTCAATATGATAAAATTTTTCTAGCCAATTCAGAGAGAGCTACAGAAATAGCTGGGCTTTTTTTTATTTTACTCATTTCAATTTTTCAGAAGTAGTATATTTGTAGTAAAAGCAATGTCAATCAAATTAGAACCTTGTATTTATATTATTTGCCTGAATCCAGCTCAAGTTCTAACTCAGGTGACTGATTTCTTCTTTTCCGACCCAGGTGGAGCTCCATTCATTCTATATCTTCCTTGGTTTCAGAGTTTTTCTGGTTATCCCTGAACTAAGCAAGATTTCATGAATCTGGCTCCCAGAAGTCATGCAGTTTTCCCTAAGGAGTAAAATCAAAATAGTAAACAAGTCAGAAAACCAATGATAGAAGTAGAGTAGGCAAGTGCTTAGCTTGAGATCACCACACTAGAATTTTATTCTGAAACACTTGCCAGTTTCCCCATATGTGAATCAACCCCAATTTCTCTGAAAAAACAACTCTGACAGAGCTGCATCATTATCAACTTTCATCGATTGCTAAGTAGCTTCTGCAGCCATGTGTTACTGTCTACTACCCTTCACCCTCTATAACAAAAAAACATCACACACACTGCAAACTGTCTTCTTTGCACATTGCTGGTAGCAATTAATAGTCTTTATAGACAAATGGTTGGTTACACAATTTTTAACTGCAATCAATACTAAGCATATAATTTAAATCTCATGTAAGCGATACACTGCATTACTGGAAGGCTAAGCTTTTCCAAGATGGGTAGCTTTATATTCAAGACAGGACTGAAACAGTTGGTCTGATCACATTACAAAAGAAACCTTACAACCCTAGACTGGAACAAACAGCTCTGAACTCTGGATAGCAGTAGAAATTATCCACCCATTCCACCAAGGCCAGCTAGGTCTCATGAAGGCAAATATGAATGATAGACTAATCATGACATTATTTACTATTGCGCATTTTTACAGAGCATTAAAGACTTTTCCTAATCATTGCATGAGATTCAATACATTCAAAGAGGGAGGAGTTATCAACAGCCATTAAACATATGTGGATAGAGCCTTCAACTCAAGTAGTCTTGAAGTCACATGCTGCCAGACCACTGAAGGGAGTGCAACACTGCATTCCTGCTCCAACGGGGTTTTTTTAAGCATCTGGTAATAACTATAATCAGAGACAGTCCCTGTGACTTGACTGAGTACCAGCATTTTAGTGTATTATACAAGCCATTTACAAAAGCATTACTTTTAAGGATAAAGCTGAAATCTTGGTTTTATTGAAGCCACAAAGTAAGAATTTTGACTAAAATCTATTCTAATACATCTAAGTGTATTCCACAGCCATGCTATTTATGAAAAAAACAAAAAAACAAAAAAACCCCAACTCTTTAAAAGAATATGCTATTTTCATAATGCTAAAAAATGAGCTAAACACACCCTGCAATATGAAAAGAAAGAAAAAGGTTTCATTACAGTACCTGAGTAAGCCGAGTGGTTTGTATCATATCTTGCCATTTGCCATATATCCTAGCAACTAAATCTTTTACCTGAAAATTCAGATTGATCAGTTTAGCCATTTATGTTAAAAAAGCCAAAATCATAGCCCCTGTCTCTGCCCCAAACCCATAAAACCTTAGATAATCCAACACCCAAGGTTTACTGTGAGAGAACAATTTTACAGCTGACACGACGTATCACCATCTCAACTCCAAGCAGATCCCTGTAATTTGGGACTCTGAATTCCAAGTCATGTACTCCACACAAACACATTACAGGCATATGACTCCCTACGTTAAGTGTCTGGAATCAGCATGCAAGCCTCTGGCCTCCAAACACCCACCCAGCTCATCCTTCAGGTGAGTTCAGTTTATTACACAAGTCTGACTGTACCTAGAAAAAGGTGCCTGCAATTGTAATCACAAAAGCCAACTATGCAGCACTGTCTGCTTCTGAAATAAATCCCAAAAGGTGTTTAATCCAGGCCACCCAGAACTGAGATTTGCTTCATACGTTGTGTTAAAACCCAGCACAGTGGTGTCCTCTGGAAATTACTGTACTATTACACAAATTAAGTGATGGGGAATAATAGCAAGATTTTCCCCTCTCGGTGAAAGGGCAATAGAAACAAAAGTGAAGCAACTCAAGAGACAAGAATCCAAGGCAAGACTTATAAAAAAGATCCATGCTCTACTAATCTGGATGAATAAAAAGGAAAGATCTTCTTGAGAGGTAAGGATGCACACAACTGCAATTGTCTGATTTAAAGCTGAAGAAGCCAAGGCTTTTCAAAGTTGTTGATCACTTCATCACTGATCTGATTTGGCTTGCTATGACAGCAGGCAAAGCAGAAAAGTCACAAAATTAGAACTATCATTAGTAAACCCCACACCACAAAGCCAACAAAAGGCAATTTATCCCAACTTGATGCTACTTCACATACACTGCTGGCTTAAAGTCCACATTTTTAACTAACTCATTAATTTGAAAATAAAGTAGCGACCCATGCCAGATAAGCTGGTTTTTCAGTCCTCCGTGTCCTGCCCTGCATGTAGCCTCTGCTCTTAAAAGGAGAGCCAACTATCAGTGACTGCCGGGAAAAGAAACAGAGCGATGCTGGGTCTAAAAGTTCAGATGCCTGGCTAAAAGGAAGACAAGCTCACATTTTACAATTGTTAAGAGTCCTGCTGTCAGCTAAAGGAGTGTTTTCAGTGCATTAAAATAGGCATATATTTGTGTACATGCAAAGACATGATGCAGACAGAGAAACCAGAAAGAAAAACAAACCCACGAGGAACCCTTGCAATCTTCAGGGCTGGGATGAGAAAGCAACACATATCAAGAACATGAAAAAACAACCCAAAACAAAAACCCCAACTTAAATGTCTTACCTTAGATCGATAAAAGAGTCTTGCATCCTCCCTAATGTCACATTTTATGTGCTTATCTAAGGCAGCACAAAGCTTCAGTAAGTGTTGCTAAATAAAGACAAAAGTGTACAGCTATTTAAATCCTTCATGTCAAAACTAAAAGCTTTCTTCAAATATTACTTCAATTTAAAAGTTATAAGCTTTAGTTTGACTTTTTATGAGAAATATACAGTAAGGAACGGGGAAAAGGAAGAAAACAAAATCATGAGATCCTCTATCAGTTGCTTTAAAAAGTAGTTTCAAAGTATAGCACAGCCATACTTCACAAATTTTAAAGTTCCTACTAGCTTATTTGTAAATACTTCCTGTCCCCAAAGTAGCAAGTGCAGTGACACCCAGATCTTTTATCAGCAAAAAAGAGTTCTGAAGTCACAATAGCTGAAAATAATCTTTTCAGTAATGACGACTCAGGTAATTTTCTTTTGCAGGAATCGGCTGAGCAGATAAAACATGTCCAAGGTTTATGCTGGTATTTTATTTCTTTGTAAATTTCTGATTACTTTAATAAAGCAGTTTTGCAACTTCATAATCTCTTGATAATGGCTCCCAAGATCTTTCACATTCTGCAAATTTCTTCATAAAATTCCTGTTTTCAGTCCCTCACTGAACAGCTGCAAAGAGGCTCTGCAGAACAGGTGAGACACGCTGAAATTCTACTTATAAACATACGCTGGTGTCTCAAGACCATAACAATTTACCCCATCTAACTGTAAGAGGATCAGAAATTGAATAGTTATATTGATTTTACACAAAGTCTAGCCTGCACAATATTCAGCCACAGTCCTCTTGCCACTTGATGGCTAACAGGTCAGTGACTAATAGACTCTTTCTTCATTATGAAATACAGACACATTAAAAAAAAAAAAAAAAAATCAAATTCTCCACAAATCTTCAGGAAGGCAGTTGTAAAAAACAAATCTCAAAAGATCATCACAATTATTTTCTTTACCAAACACGGGTTTGTTTCAGATGACACTCTGTGATTATCTTTTTGCACTGGGTAGGAAACCGAGACACTTAAGCCCTGAAAGGTAACCAGACATTACAGCTTTACCTCTCTCAAACAGTTCATATGACAGATTTCTTAAAAGGCAAGAGTGCTTCCACAGGGCAGAAGGTATACACAAACACTTTGCAGCAAAGAACTCACAGCAAATCATCACAGAAATCCAAACAGGATTACAGAAAGGCTAAGCAGAAGGTATTACTTAACAGATGTCCACATCACATGGTACAAAGGAACTATCACTACAGAGAACAGAAGTGATACAGCCCTAGCTTTCACTCGCTGCATGGCTGCACTCCAGCACAGAAAACCATGATGCATTTAAACATATTTTACTAGATATTTTCAAAGTGGTTTTCTTCTAGACTGAAAAATTTCAACCCTACTTCAAAAGTTCACAGGATCATTAGACTTCTAAGAATTCCTGTGTCGAGTCAATCTCCCGTTACTTTCTGAGAAGGATTACCAAAATAAATGTCTGGTGATCCACAGCCTTATCTTTTGAGGTAGTTCCATTTGCAGAAATGCAGAAAAGGTTTCTTTCTCTGCACTAAGTGCACAGAAAGCTCTTCTGCATTTACTCTGGCCCATAGCAGGTTTCCCCCAGTGCTATTATCCACTGGTGATCTTCTATCATGTGATAGCTCTTACCAAAATAGACCAAGTGTGCATGATAAATAGTCTTTTAAAATCTAAAGATCTAGCCACTGAAGTTACTTACCCTTTGATTAGAATCTACAACATCAAAGAAACTAGCTTCACTGACTAAATGGAGAAGGATGTAGATTAGGTAGTATGCCTGGAGAGAAATAAAGAGCTTTAGCAGTCAAAGCACAGTCATAACTCTTCACATCTAGATACAGCACAATTTTTGCTTTCTGGAATGATTCTCCAACAGCCAGATCAATGGACAAGTATGCCTACACATTTGCCTAAATAACTAATTTGAAACAGTACATTCATGTATTAGAATCATTTTAAAACAGTATTACACCACTTTAAGTTACCTAAGTAACCTAGAAAACTTTCTGTAGTTTTAATTACAGAAAACTTATTTCAGCAGTTAGCTTCAGTTTCCCATCATCTACATACAGATCAAAATACTTGCTAAGAGATTCCATGATAGACTCAAAAAACCAAATGAATATTCAGTTTTTGGATGGATGGAAATACTAAATCTTTCTAAGACTTGTTTATGAGAAAAGATTCATAAATCTCTCTCTAAAGCCTGCAGGTGAATGTCTGGCTCAGCATCAAACAGCTTTCACTGATTACATCAGAAGGGAGGATGGTCTTCTGATTACAGAAAACAGGACTCAAGACATCCTTGTGATGTAGCCATTCAAAAAACTCCAATGATTTCCCCATTTGTAAAACAGCCCGAAACAGCTTCCTCTGTCACATACTACTTCTTTCCTTCCTCCATGACTATAATAAAAATTGAACATGAGTAATATTTTAACTATACAGATGAACAGCAACAAAGTAGTGTATGGTGTATGTACAGCGCATGTACAGAACTGTCCTCAGTTAACAGAAATTAAAAGAAACATTCTCAAAATTGTAGAAGATGAATGAAAAGACAAACGCAAAAAAGCACTATCAGCTATATACCTCCTGTTCTAGTTCTGCATGAAGGTGGTTTCCATTGTCGTTCTGCTGCTCCAGTCCTTCTCTCATCTTCTTCAGCAGATTAGAAGGTTTCATGTACACCAGGAACTGATACAGAAGAGACATCTACAGATACAACCATTAACAAGTTGGACTGATTTAGTGGCAACAGAAAATTGGAAATCGAGTGGTACTACAATAGTATTTGCCCACTAAGACAAGAACATAAAAGGGATTTTTAATTAAAATGGAAGTTTTAATGCTTTGGGTAATTTTTAACTATTCACAAACTAAAGTGTTTATATGTTGCCTCAAAAACAAAAACAAGGAGTGACTCTACCTGAACACAAAAGGAAGACTGAAAGTACTGTAGACTTCTTTCCAATGTCCAAAATGAATGTTTAGGCATACAGACAATATTGCACTTACAAGCTGCAGAACATGTAGGTTACACACACGTGCAAATATACTTCTAACACTAATCGGTCATTTTGCAAGGTTCTTGAAAATACGCTTACAGTATTAAAACATAAACCACAAAGAACAATAATATACATGGTTTTAAAACTTGTAAATTATACACACACAACACACGTATGGAGTACCTGTTTGTCACTGTCGTCAGGTATTTCTATATGCTTTTTATTAAGAAGCTTTGAAATGATCACTAGGCTAAGACGTCTTCTTACTTCCCTGAAAAACAATTTAAAAATTTTCTTTCCTGGAGAATTTCTTAAATCCACACTGTTTATACAGAGTATATGAGGCTATGCCTGACTTCCCAAGACAAACTTGCCCAGAACTATTAAATTGGATTTTCTAAATATAGGTGTTCTTAAACTAGTAAACAGGCTAGTAAAATATAAGTACCCTTATGTCATTGCAGCTTTTCTTCTGCACAAGTAAACCCTGCTAGATGCTTACCTCCAAGCCTGAAACTGAAGACCCAATTCATTCTCCTCACTCAGATACATTATCAAGATGCTGAACTCATAGCAGATTGACACTTAAAAGCAGACATGAATCACCCAAAGCAAATTTAATACCTATTGCATTTATCAGACTTTGAGCTTATACAAATAAAGCAGCTGTTAATGATACTATCCAGTTCTGATGTTACATTATCATTACCTTCCACGTATTGTCCAGCTAGGCACCAGCTGAACTAGCCACAGGAGATTATGGTGATGACTGGAGAGTTCACTCACTGCCAGGCAGAGCTCAGGCATCTTTAAAAGAACAACAAAAATAATCCCAATACTGAAAAATGGATACAGTGGGCATTTGTTTTATTTGCAGAGGAGTACACATCTACTCCCTAGAAATATACACAACATAAACGTTAAAAGGAATTGATCTAACAAGAGATGATGTGCATAAAGATACTTCTGCATTGCACCTGTAGTTAAGTTTGCTAAACACTTAGCAATTTTACAGTAGTTGAGATCAGATTGCTTTTAATCACATTTTATCAGCTCAGTGCAATCATTTATTCACTCTTTGAGAGACATTTTAAACATACATCTATTCTAGTAAATAAAAGATTAAGTTCAATACAGCAGCCCCATTACAGAAGAGGGTAAGTAAGCATAATATAACACGATAAAAATCATCTCAGTATACCCACCCACCTTCTAAATCTCATACAAATCCAAAGCTCCCAACTTGTTAATATCACACTTTCAAGCAGTATTTTTCCGATATGTCAAGTAAAAAACCCGTAAACTTCAGAACTGAAGTTTCTTGAAAATTAAGATGTAGTTTCTTAAATCTAGTACAAGAAAATTACTTATGAAGTTGTACCTTTGTATCCCAGTCCTTTATACTTATCAGAAGCTTTATGGAAAGGCATTGAAAATCTGTCAAAGGAATTTGCTTTAACTGTTTCTCCAAGCTTATTTTAAACAGCAATAGAAGCAGCAGCAATATTTCTTGATCAGTATATCCACCTTGAATTACTGTTGTACAGAAACCTAGAAACTTCAAAAGAAATAAAAAGCATTAAAATCTGAAATTGGTTTATCTTAAAGTATGATGAGAACATAAGTTTTCCACCCTCATGTTAATATGCACCTCAAATGATATACTGTTCTTGCAACACTTGTGTACTAACATCTCCCCATCTCCCAGTAATTGCAATCTTTTTTTTTTTTTTTAATACCTGCTGGAGGCTCATCTTTTAAACAATAGCAATATCCCCTGGACATTACAGGAGAAGGAAGGATTTTTCTCCACTGCACAGATAAGACTCATCTAACTGAATGACTAACCAATTTTCTAAACACACAAGTAATACTGAGAACATAAATCAAGAGATTTTGCTCCACTCAAGTATTATCACTTGGGTTACATATAATGTGGGACATGTTTGTTAATGACAACACAAATCAATCAAGAGATTTGTATTATGTTTCTAGTAGAGATGTTCTGAGTGCTTCCTCCTGAACTAAATGATTTTACAGTTCAAAATCTAAAGAAATTATGTTAGGAGGATTGAAATACTCCCACGAGGAACTCTGAAATCAGTTATAAAGTCAGTATTTTTGCCATACAACCTTTAGTCACAGAGAACTAGCCTGTGAAGTGTGACCAGCACTCATTCAGCCTACAGTCTCATGGGACACAGTGCATGGATCCAGCAGCTCACTTCCACAGAAGAGCGAGTCACAGCTCAGCCTGCCCTCCATGAGCTCCCACCTCATTCACCTTGTGCTGCACGGGGACTGATTGCATACCTCCGAGAGCTGCACTAACACACCCAGGCAGCACAAAACATACCACCCAACATCAACTCCCCATCCCATTTCCACTGGAGCACAGAAATGGAGAGTTTCTTCTACATGAGGTACCAAAGACATTTGACAAAGTGCCACAGCTGGAAAAGGGAGACAGCAGAACTGTGCAGTTGGGTATGAAGCCAGTGGAAGTCAGGAAACCCTTGAAAGTTTTTAATAAGCCTGCAATAATCTCTGCTGAACATGAAGCTGAAACCCCAGGATAGCATCTACTCACAAAACATGCCCAGAACTAGATTAAGACCAGAGTTTTTGCTAACAAACAAAACAAAGCAAACACCCCCTACCTTTCCCTCCCCCTAAAAAAAACAAAATAAAACATCACAAAAAACCTTCTCACACTAACTGGAGTTTTCTCACCTTAATCACATTAATTAAATTGTTTTCTGGTAGAATGCAGAAGGCTGAACCGGCAGAAGTTAGGTCTCCTCTTGGCTGTTTATTCACTGTTTCTTGCATCTGACTTCTAATAAAAGAGACACTAATCTGAGCAATAAATCAACAATTTAAAAGCCTACAAAGGCTTTAAATCAGAGGGGAAAAAAGCCCTGCATGTTTCAAAATGCCTTCAAATGAAAACAATCCTCAGTTACAGAGGACACATCTATTTTCAACTTATAACCAATTACTTACAATTCTGCCCAGCTGTTTAGGTAACAATTCTTGTAAAACTGTATTAGGAAGGTGCAGGACAAAGAACAATGCTCTGCTATGATGAACAACGTTACCTGGCAGGCACTGTTTGAAGTTCTGGCTTATGTACTCTTATTAAGACCTGAGCTGAGAATTTGAAGAAGAATACGGCTTGATGGAAGGGAGGGGAAATAAAGGAGAACCTTCTGATTCTACATTCTAAGCACAAGGTTTGCTTTCACAGGATCTAAGCAATAAATATCAAAAGGAAAACACTTACAAAATATCACACTCCTTAAAGTTGGGCTGAAGATGCTGCAATGGAAAGAGAGATCTAAATGCAATACCCATATTGACAAAAACAGTCGACACATCAGCTAGTGAAGGAATCCATGGTTTTGACTGCTCGTCATTGATGGAAGCTACAAGTAAAAGACATGAACAGATTAGTTTTAAACTTCGTTCATAGCATTAGCTCCTTTTAAGGGAAACAAATAAGCTCAGCAGTCTGTATCAAATCTATCAGCTTTCATCTCAGAAGAGTTGGTACACTGAATTATATGCTTATTTTCAGAACTATGAGTGGGGAAAAAAATATAGTCTAACGGAGTATTTTATGCTAGAGAAACATCTTGCCTATGTAACAGGTGAATTAAAGGTCCACCCATTTTCCCCTCAGAGCTCTTTCATCACAAACAGCAGAATAAGCAAGGAGGCAATATTTACTTTTAAGAGAATACATAAATTACCGCTCTATGTAGGTACAGGTAAGATTGTGTTATCATAGTGGGACTGGAAGCAGAGCTAAACAAGATTTGGAAACAGGCAAGCTTTCTAGAACTGAAGTGCTAAACAGATGGAACTGACTTATTTGATAGAAGTAAAAAACAACACTCATTGCAAAAATTTGTATGATGACGTTTCTGCAAATCTGAAAACTGTACAGAGGATTCTCTATAGGAAGCTAAATTAGCAAGGTAACATCAAATTAGGCAGTGTTTTCCAAACAATGACAGAAGTCACTAGAATTCTGAACTGGGTCAATTTTGTGTCTCAGAGATAAGTTTGTAAGAAAAAAAAGCAAATATAATGGAACATAATGCTCAAGACACTGCAGGTTCACATCAAATTGTTCAATTTAGTGAAAAAAACAACAACAAAAAAAGATGCGTTCTTAGTTAAGCACTGGAACAGAGTATCTCAGAGTGGTTTAAAGACGCCACACTTGGCAATTTTAAAGTGGTTAGACAACTTTCCAGGAGCAACTGTAGCCTATTTGACCCTGCTCCGTGGTCAGAGATCTGCTCGGATCTCTCCCAGCCTTCGTTCTTCAAATGTTAATAAATCAGCTTGAGCAGTTCATTCAGAATCAAGCTTAATGTCAGCAAAGCACAAAATAAAGGAAGCTACATTCCCTCTTGTATCAGCTCACAGCCTGATTTCAAACAAGATTCAAAATGTAGAGTACAATTTGGACAGATCTGAGCAAGTACTTCAAGAGAACTGCATTACTTTAACAATATTAACTGAAAGGGTCAAATGAATTAGTGACTTTTGATGGATCCGAATAAAGCAAAGACATGGAGAATACACAAAGGAACTTGTACTGGAGAAGTATTTAAGAGTATAGATGAAGTAAGGCAAAACACACAAGACGAGCAGCAGTGGGGACTGAAGCAGATCCTTGAAAGTGTTTTTGTGCAGGTGTGTGATTCTTTTCACTTTTGCCATTTATCTGGAAAGTAAACTATGCAGTGCTACATGCTAGGTATGACTAGGTGAAAAAGATCTTGTAGTCCTCAAGCTATGAAATTAATGTCTGCATCTTCCAAAGTGAAAGATGAAAAGGAGAGTAAACATTCGAGCAGACTGGGCTCCTCTTCAGGTCCATTCCATTTGTGAAATAACAGACGTGAGTTTAAAAGGCTCTGTACCAGATGTACTGCTTTGCAAATACATGCTAAGATGACATCCTGTGGTACAGCTTGCACACACTCAGTGAAGACCAACTCCTAGCATTTGTGCATTACGTAAGTAACAGCAGAGCCTAAATTCATGCCAGAAACACAGAACAGAGCTGGTGCCTTTTACATCCTCCCCAATACCTTTCTATACTTAACAGAAGGGAATGCCTTCATTCAGGTGGACAGTTTTTCATCTTTCAAATACTCACCATTTCTTAGTGTTATCTCCATCAACCTGTCTAAAATCTGAGTGGAAACACAATAGTCAGGATGAACAGACATCATCTGTGGAGAGAAAAGAAGCTACATGTCAAACACCAAGTTGCATGATGGCATCAGTTTTCTTTTCATTAAAAAACCTCCAAACAACTAGTTGGTAAAATACAATAAGAAACAGTAACATAAGAGAAAAGCCACCCCAAAGTCTCTAAAGCAAGATACACCAAGGAGAACAGAATGTTGTGAATATTGGTTATTTCAAGGAGTGCACAGATGCTATGAATACTTTAAAATTAATTATTTGCAACATCAGAATGCTGTAACCCCATGTTGAATCTGTTGGTTCATAAGAAGGTACCGAGAGGGTTAAAAGAATGGAAAGTATCATGTATCCCTTTGGAATCTATTTGCATCTGTGATCAAATTGAACTCCCTGATCAGGACAGGAGGCAACAGTTAACTACAACCTTTTCCAGTCATGGCCAAGTTGAACACATGCAATATTAAACCGAAACAATGAATTCTTCGTTTTTCACAGAACTCTTAACTACAAAAACACAACTATGAAGTACAGTTCAGGTTTCCTGGAGCACTTCACTAGCCCAGCAGAAAACTCTTCCTTTTCTCCCCAAAGCACTGGATAGTTTCCTGCTCTAAGTGAGCTAAATTGGCTCACACTTCCTCTTTAATTATTAGAGGAACACCAGGGCTCACAGAAGGGGTGGAAGACAATTTTTTACTGACTGAAGGGAAGGATATGGAGGAGCAAAATGTTTCCCTTTTAGCAAAAGCAGAAAGCCAGTCAGACGACCTAGGGTGCAATTTCACAGGCAGTCCAGCTTCCTTTTTTGTTTCAGGCACAGTTAGAATGTGGTAAATAATAACAGAATGGAAGTTAGAGAGGACCGTTTTTGTGAATGTAAATTCCTGGGGATTTAGATGCCAACACTGACATCTAGAAAGCAGACAGACACCACAGTTCCTTTGAGAATGGCTCCAGTCTTTTTCCCAAGCTATAATGCATATTAACCTTTTCCAAATGAAAGTTATCTGATAAGGCAGGTAATCTCTGATGTCTTAGAAAGGGATACATGTAGAAATGGTACTTTTGCACTTTTACATACTGCAGCATGTTTGTTTGGTTTGTTTTTACGAGTGGAAGGAAATAACATTAACATTTGCTTGTGATTTGGCCCACACTATTATACCCTGAAGTCTCTTCTCACCTAGGAGGTACTGTGTCCTTTGCAACTGCAGTAGCACGTATGAAGATGGGTAAGGACCTGCAGCTTTGCAGTCACTCAAAGTCTGGAGAAAAAGCTATCCCTAGTGTTTTACCCCTAGTGACAATCAAAAGTATTTGAGACTGGAGAACAAATCAGAAGCCAGAAAGATTTATTTATTTTATGTTAAAGTTGTTAACTTAATGCAATAGATTTACAAACTTGTTCCAATTACCCCTGCTACAACTGACTTCCAGGAAGTCAGTTATACCAGTTATTATGCCTGGACAGAATAAAACTGCATGAATAGTATAGTCTCACCTGGAAAAGCCACTTTAGAATTGGTATGGGACACAAGATACAACTGTAAGCAGAACTTAGAAAACCAGTAATAACTAAAGAAAGCTGCTGTGTTACACCACAACTGTAAGACAAAGATGAGGGGAGAAGAGGAGAAAAATCAGTTAGTGACTGAATTGGCATTTTCACAAAAGTGTAAGAACTCCCCCACCCCTTAGATTATCAACAGCAAACAAGGATCTGAAAATCCAAACTAGGTATTATTCTTATGCTCTTACCTATATGAAATACTGTAGTAATTAAACCTTATTTGTTATTTAGATCAACTATCTTTTTCTCCAGGATGTCATACTATATCATTTAGAAACATCTGTATTGGAGAATAATAGCTTCGAACAAACATTGATTTACACTATTGTACTATGAACCATTATGCCTGTCTACACAGACGGGCTGCTATGCTCAATGAGACCAATGAATAAGATTTTCTGCTGTCCAATGACCTTTAGCAACACTTTCAGAAGAGAAGAAACAGAAAAAAACTTTGTTTGATACTTTAAAAATAGTTGCTTAAACAGTCTGGGGGCAAACTAAAGCAATTAAAATCAAACAGTCTAATCTCACTGTGCAAAATTTGTGAGGTACAAAAAGTAGCTCTTGGAAGAACAGAAAATATGTCATTTTTATTACTGAATTATTTTAGCTTTACTCTTCTTCAGAAAGTCAGGTATGTCATAAGCAGCTGAATTAATGATATCCAGTTTCCCATACACCCTTCTCTAGTCTCCTCTATTCTCAGTACCTACCAAAACAGCTCTGTTGAGAGATCTGTGTCCTAACTTCTCTATACACCCTCAACCTGAGTGAGCAAGTAGCTAGGAAGACATCCATGTGCCAACTGGATAACCAGCACGTGCCAGCTGTGTCACCTGGGCAGAATGCACAAGCAATTCAATCATAATTGCCTTCTGCAAGAGATGATTCGCTTAATTTTCATTCCTCCAGTCACTGATTTGCAAGATTCTTTTGAAGCCTATATCCTTCTGATCTTCAAAACATTAGAGAGGCCAGAAGCCAAAGGAATATATCACAAACATCACTTCATCAGGAGATGAGGAAGAGCCACCCACCTCTTCTTCACACCCACAATAGCACATACACACGTATACAAAATTCTCTGAGATTAAATGAATTCTCTGTTTCACTGATGCAAGTTTGGAATAAAATGCCAAATGAATTAACTAGATTTTTTCAGGATTTGTGCTTGTGGTATTAGGGAAAATTTTGTCCAGCTATTTGTAGCCTGACAGTCTCATAAATACAGAATACAAATCCCTGTGAGTTACAGAACAGTTGTATACATACATACAGACTCACTGCTAGCTCAGTGACTGATTTTAACAGATGTCAGAAATCGTTTCTTTCTGCAATCCTCATTAGGTGGTGCCCCAAGTCCCAGGCCCATTCAGGATGAAAATACGTAAAACTCTTTCAGCAGACATAATGCAATGTTAGTAATTCGCAAATCAGTTCACCACAAAGGTCCTCTTTCTGTCTTGTGATAGTTACGCTTTCGCTCTTTATAACGCTCCACTTCTGCATTTATCTTCTACAAACTGGTCATATTACCCATGATAACCCAACACAGCAAAAATATGGAAGAGGCCAGAACTCCTATTTTTTTTTTTTATCTTATGTCTCATTTAAGATGCTTTTAATGAATTCCAGGAGTAAAGAAGGAAGCTTCAGGTAACAATTCACTGTTCTGTAAAGCTAACCTAGAAAGAATTCCAGGGAAAGGGAGTCAAGTCTTCCCTACTTAGTAAGGCAGAGCTCATTTGCATGCAAAGATACTATTTTATCCTAAAAACTGTTAACACTGAAGAAAATCATATAAGTAAACACAACAGTGTGAAGAGATCATTACCTAAGAAGAAGCTTTTCTACAGGATTTTGAGGGATGAAGTGAAAATTCCTCAAGTCAAGGTCACACTGATTAAATATTTTCCCAGAGGTTGATAAATCAAATATATCTTCTCCAGGGTAGCAGTCAGGTATGGCATGAGCTACTACTGAAAATTTCTTTATAAATGCCCTGTAAAATTCAAAATTACTTTTATGAATTTAAACATTGAGAAGCTATTTGCTGTTTGAGACTGTTATTTTCAGATGAACACATCAGTCTATGTGAAAGCTGAATTACAGTAATGTCCAAGAAAATCCACCCAACCCCAAAAGACAATAGAAACAGTTCACTTTAAACATATTAACAACTGATGGAAAGAGAGAGAGATCAGAAGGCTAGAAAAGTGAAGAACTAGGTTCAATTGGTTTTGGAGTTGGAAGGACCTGTGTTCCTCTGAGAGATCTTCATCTCTACTAGCATTCTCATCTTCTCCATCTGAAGAAATAGTTGTTCTTCCTTGTATGTCTTCCTGTAACTGCTTTTCTAGTTCATCTACCCTGAAATAACAGTAGCAGCAGAACACATCATAAACACTTAGCATTTACAACAGAAGACAAGAAAATTTAAGCTCTGAATCTAAGTCCCAAGGAGTCAGTATCCAATTATACACAGTAAAAGCTTGCAAGACATTGCATCTCTATGAAAAACATTTTGCTATTCGAAGATACAAAATGGATGTTTCCCAAAACCTAACGAATTTCCAACAGCACAATCAATCACTAGCTTGTCAAAGATAAATACACTCAACCAACTTCAGATAGAATTTTTTGTAATTGCATAAAACTTTCAATCTTCCGGTTATTTTTTTTTTTTAAGCATCATACCTAGTGTTTTATTTATTACCTAGTATTAGTTTTAGGAATATTCACTACTCCATAGTCAGACAGCCCATAGTTACTAGGGTTAGATTCTTTAATCAAAAAAGTTAATCACACATATATATCCACCACCACCACTTGCTATTAGTAGATATACCCTATTACACTGTCTACCCAAAAGACCTCTTGCAAGAACACTCATTAGTTCTGTTCACTGAACTGTGTAACTACTCAGATAACAGTAGTCTACACAATGTTGGAAACCAAAACTGAGCTACAAATCCCTCTTGAAGAAATTAGTACAGTCAGTCTACATAAGTACTTCTATTTCATGCCTGACCAGCAGCTGCTAGCTGACTCAGTGACCTACAATGAAGGCATCAGTGAATTTAGTCTGGCTCTTGAGGGTTAGACAGATCTATCACAGATCACTAATTATTGCTTGGAAGGAGCCTGCCATTCAGCTTTTACAGTTAAGCCGCACTTGTAGGACCCATCAGATGTATGTTGCTGGCATCAGCAGGCAAAGCTTAGCTTGTTGCTACCCAAACTCCAGCAGTTTCAGGGAAACAAGGTAGATCTAAGCTTCTACAACTCAATCCCAAATTTCTGACAGCAGTTTTAAGAAACAAACCTTTTAGATTCTTCTTTCTCCTTCAAGAGATGTTCTAAGCTGTTCACATATGACACCTGGCTAACAACAGGAGGCTTAGAAAGCTGTAAATTAAATAGTAAGAAATTTAAAAAGTACCACAAGCTATCAACTCATTCAGTATTAGACAATAAACATAACCAAAATGGAAACCCCTTCCAATTTTAATGATATTTTACCAGAAGATAAAAACCTCAAGAGACCCTGAAAAACAGCACGATTAACAGTTTGTTTCTCAGTCCCTTGACAATTTTATATAATGGTCAAATCTCTCTCAGTGATTAATTTAGAAATAACTGTGCTTCATGATGGATCTGAACAGCAGGAAGTCTCTGCCTCTCTCCCTGGGGCTGACCTCCAGGTAACCTTCACAAAGAATGCTTGCATCAGTAGCCTTTTACCTCAAAGCTTTTATTATCATCCACTGAGACCCTGGGAATCCCCATTCTAGTGCACAAGACAGAAAAACCTCCAAAAATGATACAGTACCTCTTTGTTACTTCCAGGAGTCCCTAGAGGCAAAGCACCAGTGTTTGGCTAAACCACCCCCAAAATCATCAGACAAAAGAAAGCTTCCAAAACCCTAATACAAACCCAAATGAAGAAGATAACAGAATTTAAAAAAAAAAAAAAAAAAAAAAAGCCACAACAAACCACACACAGAGAAAGTCTTAACCACTAGCAAAATCAGTTTGCTTTTCAGTACTCAGTGTTTTATTCACCTAGTAGCAGACAACACAGATTTGAAATCTTTTATGGCCATGATTCAGTTCTTTGGACAAGCAGTGCCCTTCTGACACCACCTTCTTAAATTGCAAGCTACTAGTCACAATCCTTCTTCCTATGAGCTCTTGCATTTTAGGATAACACAATTCAGTAAGAGCACACCCTCTCACTGCGGATTTTCTATTGCCCAAATGTAACAGAAGTTAAAAACATTAGTGTCCACCTGCTAATAAAAAAGCCAGTTAATACAACATTAATTTTTAGTATTCAGAGATATCTTTCAAACGTAACAAGCAGCATGTCTTTGTGTGGAAAACCTAAAAGACCTCTTACCTTATTTTATATCTGGTTAATATGTCTAAAATGACTGTTGAACAACTGAGGAATCAAGGCTTTATTCCAATGTGCACATATGCCCCTTCTTACAAGGCAAGGGAAGAATGCTAGTATATGCAAAAACCATGGTCATGGAAATTTTGGGAAAGTTCTTAACAGTTTTTTCCTACTTGGCCATTAAGTATGCAGAAACAGCATAGGTCAAATGTGGTCACACACATGTTCCACAAGCATCTGATCTACGCTGCATCTGTTTATCAGTCTTGACCATTAATTACGTAGACATGTTGTTTAAGACTGTGGAGTACTTATGTAACCACGGAAGTCTGATCTATAACATGCTTGCATAATGAATTGTAAGGACAGATAAAATAATTATGGCTGTTCAACATCTGCCTACAGAGATGCTCAGTCATCAACATCTGCCTCAGTCAACAAATAAACTGTTCCGGAGATTTAAACAGGAGGAGAGGAAGATGAGACTATTTATCCAAGTATTCTGCTGTTTGTTTTCTACTGTAGAAAACAGCAGTGGGCTGACCCCAGCCAGCAGCAAAGCACCACACAGCTTGTCCATTTCCCTGCCCAGTAGTGCAGGGGTGTGAATAAGAGGAGCAAAATCAAGAAAACACATTGGTCAAGATTAAGACAGTTTAATAAGTGAAGGAAGAGGGAATAAGGGCGCACCTCCCACAAGCAGGATGCCCAGCTAGACTCCAAGTCATGGCTACATGCCAGACCAACTCCCCCTGCTTGGTTTCAACTGCTGAGCATGACACTGTGTGGCATGGAATAGATCTCTTTGGTCACCTGGGGTCAGCTGTTCAGGCTCTGTCCCCTTCAAACTTATAGTTCACTCCAGCCTACTTGCTGCAGGGGCAGAGTGGGAACAAAAGAAAGCCTTGATGCTTTGCAAATACGGCTCTGCAGTAGCCAGAAGACTGGTCTCTTACCAACACTGTTTCTGTCTGAAACAGCACCATACAGCTGTTATGAAGAAAATTAACTCCAACCCAGCCAGACTCAGTACAAAATCCTTTTATTTAAATGCAGGCATTTCCAACCCGTACCAATTTTGTCAGTAATGCCACACCAAGTCCTACTGCAGGACCTTCCTAATTAAAACATTATTTTATAGTAAAACTTCAAAATCACTACTTATTTGACAAGCTTTTGTTGAACAAATAGGCTAACCTTTAAAAACATCAATCCATTTCTATCAACATAATATCCTGTAAACTGGGAATCAAACACTTCATCTATCCCTTGTGAACAGTAGTAGTCATTCAGCTTTTTGAAATACTTTCTAAAATACTTCAAATTTCCATGAAATTCAACCTCAAAACATCACACTTACAGATCAAGAACTCTTACACAGATTTGTAACAATCACAGACTGTGACAAGGATGTATGACTGGAGCCTAGCACACAGATCTCTCAACATCTAGATTAATTTACTCTAGTTAATTTCTACTCAAAAATTTTATCTGATCAGGAAAATTAAAACATTACATCCCATCTATCTACTAAATGTAACCCCCTGCCTTTTTCTTTGGGGGGAAAAGCAAGAACAGAATTCCTAAAAAACAACAAAAGGAATAAGCTAACAGAGTCCTGCTGTACAAACCATCTTTCAGCATTTCAAGGACCAGCACAGCAACAAGGACACTCTTTCTCTGACTACATTGCACTGTACAGAGTAGGACCCTTAAGCCGAGTAACTAGTTTTGCAGGCAAATAACTCTGAGTTTTCATGCACTACAAATAATGGAAAAAAAAAAAAAAAATACAACAAAGCTAATGTAACACTTCTGGGGGGGTTTTAGCCACTTACATGAAGCTTCAGTAATGGAGACACAGTGTCCTGAGAAAAACTCTCAGGACAATATTCTTCCAGGGTTCCTGCCAGTGGCTTGGAAATTGAAGAGAGCATTTCTTGCAGTGGTATGAATACTACTTCATCTTCATCATCATCATCATCTAGACTGCATTCCAAATGCTCATCTTCACCATCAATGCTGCTTTCTGATTTTCCATTCAGCTTGGACTTGTCTGTAGAGGTGCTTTCAACTTTTAACTCTCCTGACAGTTGTGAAGACATATGGTCTCTGTTTACGTACCCTGTTTTAAAAGTCAACGAACAGGGAACACTTTTACCAGGCTCTTCTGAGAGGGTGAGTTTCCCAGAACCTTCCACTGAACAAGAATCAGATTCATTTTCTGAAGTCTTGTCTTTTGTTTTTGAAAAATTGTTGCTGGATTGAATACCGTAAGCTTTACAGTGTACATGTCTTTCTGATCTTTTCCCATCTTGCTCTTTCTTAGCATCCAATACCTGAGATAAGTCAGTATTCTGTAGATGAGATTTCACACCTTTTGTTTGTGTTAAGTTGTGGAGAGAAGGCAACACAGTACTTTTTTCCTGAGAAGAAGGAACAGACTTTTCCAAGAAAAAGCATGAGTTAGCCACCTGCAATTGATTCTCTTTGGTATCCACAACAGAAATGTGGTTATTTTCACCAGGACCTACAGAGGAGCAATTATTTTTCTCATTTTCATCACTTGAGTTGAGGTATTCCTCTGGAAGAGTAGCATCATGTCTAGTTAGAGCAGTAGCCTCCATTAGTTGCAGAACATCACCACAAGTAGACTTTAAAAGGATATTTTTTACAAAGTCAGGCCTCCTATTTTTGCATTTTGCAGATGATCTATTAAAAGCAGAGTCATTCAAGCTTGATACTTCAGACTGATCTGAATTGTTTGCATCCACACTCACAGCAGTATGTTTTCTTTTCCCAGAAAAGCCTATTTGTTTGGATCGCCCAGAAGACATCTTAGATCTAAGGCAGTGTGAAGGAACAGGCTGGCACTTCCTCATACTGGTGGTCATCTCAGATGACATTCTCAGTGCATCTGGAGAAGATGCTTCATGTTTTGAAACCTGCTTTGGTAGAGATGGGTCATCTGTGAAGTGTTTAAGAAAAAAGTAAACCACTGTTGTCATGTTTAAAAAATAAAGTAAATTTTAAAAGAAATCAAAACCATAGCAGCTTACCCTTTAAAAAACTAACTTCTATTTTTAAGTCACCACCAACTGAAATTTTTATCAGAAAACACAGTACTTCCACTATGCTTGAACACAGTGGCCACAATTAAGATTTAACTAATATTGTACTATTATGTTATTATTGTAACTAACTTGGAAATTAAATCCTTTTTTTTTTTTTAAAGCAGCTCAGTAGCCGCCATAGAACTCTCTTCCTATACACTAGAATAAATCAGTCTTTGGAAACAGACAATAGCCCAGTTGAGGCATGGGACTGGAAGGAGGTTTCTGTAATTACATGTAATGGTTATAAATAATGAACAGTATGAGAAGTATTTTGGAAATAGTGCAGTAATTTTAGCAGTGGTCATAAAAAAACCCATTATGAATATGAAGAAATCAGTTTCCAGGCGACAGTTCTATGGCACCAGAGCCCACTTTCCTCACCATGCTTTTCTGCTTCCTGCCTTAAACTGGCACCAGCACCCGGACACTTCATGGCAAGCTACTTCACAGAGCTGATGTGGCTGAGAACTTTCCAACTCCATTTGCAGCCAGATCAGCTCCTTGTAGCACTGGTCAAGTCCCAGTGCTAGCACAGGTAGAAAGTGAAGCATAGCCGCAGGGAGTCTGATAGGTTTACACAGCTATGGACCCACCACATGGGAATAATCTCCTTGTTTTGGGTTCCTTTTTTTTTAAAAAAAATTATCCAACTGACTTAACTCAAGCTTCTATTGACATGAGCATTTTATATTCAGTTCTACCTACTGTAGAGCAAAATTATGTGGTTAAAAGGGACAAAAAGCAGTAAGAATACAAGCTAAACATTAGTTTAAAATGCAAAAAAACCCAATAAAATAAGCAGGGATTAAGGGCTCAAGACAGAGAAATATCATGACTTCTAATTAAGTTACAAACAATTAGTGAAAAGTTTTTCACTAAAATCCCAAATTAGTTTTAAACCTCTTCAAGCTTGCCATATTAAAAATAATATTGACTATACAGCAGTATTTTTTTTTTGAGAGGGAGAAAACATAAAAACATGGAAGAAAAGCCATTAAAAAAAAAGACACTAAGTGATGAACCTGATTATTTAATTAATTCCATAGTATCAGCTCTGGTTCTACCTGAGGCAGTCTCCCTTGAACCAGAACGTGGTATTTTTCTTAAAGGACATCCATTTCCCTAAAAATAAAGATGGACAAAAAAAAAGTTAATTGCATACTTTTTAAAACCAGAATGTTGATGTCTTCAGCTGTGTTGAATCCAGCACAGACTTAGTTCTACAGATCTCCAGAAATATGGTAATATACTTCATTTCAAGATAAACTTAAAACACAGCTGCAAAGATCTCAACAAAAGGACTCTCCACAACCTGAATTTTATCTTTTCTTCAGATGGGCTTCCTGTTCTAAATCTCTCCACTTTTAAGACCATTAGCCACTTGCATCCCTGGGCTATATGGCAACATAGCCCAGCTGGCTTTCCTCAAACAAGTCATTAGGAAGTTCAATAACAAAATGACAGAAAGCACAGACATACAAACACAGAGTGAGAGGTGCTAAGGAGAAAAGGAAACACAAGCAAAACAATCTTTTTTGCTCCATGCATAGTGCATTATGGAGGCACAAATAATGATCTTCCTTTCAAGTAACCAGTAACCTTTTAAAGGGTTTTATTGGTTGGTAAAAAAGTAGGCATAATTCAACCTGTAATGAAATACTACACACTTAACAGAACCACTCCCACCTCTATCTAAATACTGTGGCTTAAGTGCATAAATCCAAATTGCTATTAACTGCAGCTTCTAACTAGCAGAAATTTGCCAGGCTGTTCTCTACACTACACTGTAAGAAAACACAAGGTTATGACACTTAAAATAAAGGCTTTTTTTTTTTTTTCTACAAGATACAATTTAAAGTTACAATTTACATTGCATTTCCATGCTTGCATCTAGCCCAGAATATCTCCCCTGCCTTTAAACTAGGATTTCTCATTTATTGTAAAATAGTTAAGAACAGGCTTACCCAAGTATGACCTAAAATTTACAAAGGAATAGCAATACATCTGAAAAGGCAGCACCAAGAATCTCATCCTACAATTTAAAAAAAACCCAACACATACACAAAGGGTCACTGATTTCCACCTTTAACCCTCTTAAACATACCTGACGTGATACACTTGCTCCTGAGAATGGCTTTACAGGATGTGTCTTGGATTGTTTCATTCTATGTTTTTTTCTCTTCCTTTCTCTGCTGAGAGCTTCCTGTGATGACCTAAGTTCAGGCTCAGTTGGAGTACTGGGCAATTGCAAGGGAAGACCTGGGGTTTGGCACTGAGGTGTGCTGTTCACAGTGCGATTACTTCTAGTATCGGCTTGTGATAAGGAAACCCATTTGTCAGAGTCTGAACTAGAGTTTTCTAGATCCATACAGTCAGTTTTCTGTTCCCAACTATTTCCACAAGACAATGGTGCTCTTGTTACACCCAGACACTTCTCATTCCTCCCCTGTTCCGGCTTGGCAGTTTTATTCTTTTTGGTCAAGAAGCCGCTGCGAGACCCTGCAGTAATAAGGAGGTTTTCAATCACAACTGTTGGGTACACTGAACCCAGTGCCGTGCACACTCTGCCATTCTCTAAAATGTTTACACTGTCCTTTTTCTCTTTAATTCCTCTCCGAAAGGCATCTACTACAGAACTTGTGTTGGCTGTTTGGTCTGGCATCTTTTTTCTTCTGAACTTCTTTGGAGAATATATTTTCTTTTCAAAACGTTCAGCACATAAAACTGACAGTCCAATTCCTGCATCTTTTACATTTCCTCTGTCTGGTGAGCACAGCACAGTTCTGTCTTTATGGCCAGGGTCTAAGAGAGAAAAGACAAATTATTCACAATCACAATATTAGGAAAAAAAGTATCTTATTGTACTGTATCACTTGATATTTTATCTCTCTCTCACATGCAATCCAAAATGAATTTACTTAATCATTTAGTTTTGGTAGTGCCATGTGATTTATTTCATGTCAAAGAATTGCATGACCCATGCCACAGCTTCAGTTATAATAAGCAATCTGCCTTAAGTGTGAGACAATAACTTGAAATAATTACATCGCTACTTAAAGAAATTAATTTTAATAGGAAATTTTTTTTTCTAATAATGTAAATGAAAATGTTGATGTGTGCATTTTGACATATTTGGTAAACTATACTCATTATATTGCTGGTCCAATTTAGAATGAGATTGGACTATACTTCTGCACACTTAGAAAATTAACTCATATAAATATCTTCCATTTAAAAAACAGATATTTACCTTGGTTTAAAACTGGTTTGAAGAACTCTGTAATGGTCTGGTTTCTGAAGAGAAAACATAATTTTATCTTTTTATAAGAACGATATCTAAATGCCCATACAGTGAATATTGATAAAATTAAAATGCTGTAATTTATTTCTACGTTTTTTTTTAATTCCAGCAGCTCTTATTTCTGATAGATCAGAGAAAGCATCATCATCCTCACTGCCTCCCAGCCTTCATTCTGCTTGGCTAATGAAGCCAACCTGTTAGTTTTGTTGCTCAAACCATTTCCTTTATCATCCTATTAAGTCTTAATCACCCTTCCAGCTTAAACTAAGCTTTCTTAAATGGGACCTGCTTCAATGCATTAATAGTTGCAATCAAGCCTAACCACAAAGTTCCCTCTGCAAGTTATAAAGTTCAACTGATCCTGTAACTTTCTTCTTGTTCTCCAAAACCCTCTGTGCACCACTTTTTCTTGGTTTTTTTCACACATCTGGTGCCAGGCTGGGATGCAAATTCTTATCTGCACTACTAGCAGACTCCTCAGCAGGAACTTGTACCAGCACTGCCCCCTTAACAAAACACACGTCAGTGCCCTCCCTCTCAGCACAAATTACAGGCATCTTCTGACTTCCAACAGAAACAGCAGTCTACAGCTATCTTCTTTTTACATATACACGATATGATAATTAATAGCTTTAAATCACAGGTATGTTCTCTGGCAAGAATAAGTGGGATATGAGAGCACTAAGGCATTTCTCTGTGAGAGAATATCACTTCAAAAAATGGGTAGATTGTCTGAGTAACATGCAATTCAAACATTAAAATACATCAGGAACAATGAACTTCCTATCTTCATCTTCTCCCACACAGCAAGTAAGTTCCCTAACAACCTCAAGGCTAATATAGATTTGTTTAAGACCTTCTTCCATCTTTTGTAATCTTTCTGTGCCTTCCAAAACAAAGCTACATCATTACTGTCTGTGTAACAGCGATTACAAAGGCAAAACTCATTTATTCCAGATTCTAAGCTAAATATTCAAGCATCCATACACGACTCTGCTTTCACAGACTCAATAACCGTTTTTGAAGTTCAGGCCAGAAGAACCCACTGCGCACTTGTGCAAACTGAACTTGAACTCAATTTTTAATTTTCCGTATGCTCGTTACTTTCACTTTTGCATTTTCTAACATGGCTTCTACATTTTTAGCACTTACACAAATACAAAAAGCTGTTTATACTGCACTGATACTTCTTTAATAAGGCTACTGGCAAGCAGTGACATTTGACAATACTCAATAACTCAATGAAAAGCCACCTGTAATCAAAATACACGAGTGCATAAGACTGTTTTTTTGGCTTATCAAAGAGAGAAGAAAAACTACTTGTCAGAGACCATTTGCATGTCTCAGCTTAACCTGACATACACTAAAATACACCCACATTATTTCCACAAGCTGAAGAAACAGGGTCCCCAAAATTTCAGTTCAACAGAAGAATCAGAAGGCTAAACTGTAGGTTTATTAGCTGTTATTGCTGTTGCTGACTGATTTGTCTTTCTGTCCTTGACCACCTCTCACTGACACCCTGACCTCACCTTCTCACACAAGGCTCTCCACCTTGGATTCATCAGGACATTCCTGATGCTTGCTTGTGATCTCTCTTGCCACTGCAAAGTCATCCCGTGCCCACAACTTTCTGCACTGTGTATCTTGCAAAAACCCTTCTATTTTCCTACATAAGTAACTGTACTTCTTCCTTCCAGGTTAAAGCCCCACCTGCAATACTAACCACTGCTGGCAATCCAAATCTCATTTTCAATTACCTCTCAGATTCTTCTTTGCACCTGAACCTTGAAGTCAAACAAAAATCAAATCTTTCTGCTATCTTCTTCCTCTTTCCACAGCCACTGATTTCGAACAACTGCTTATCTCCCTCCCACATTCACAATTTCGTATGTTTTTGCTGTCTTTTATTCTGAATGCAAGAGCTTTGTAACAAAGTTAATTTGCTTCATAATTATACAAAGCCTTGTATAACATAACTGAGAGAATGGAAGCACTGCCACTGAAAAAAAAAAGGACTACTTTTTCCCCCCCTCCTTGGGATAAAAGGTTAACTTGAATGGAGAGTTATTTGTCTTTGGCTATTTGCTTCTAAGTGCTTATCCATTGACGTTTTCTGCTTTGCATTTGTAATTCTGCTTTTTGGAAGTTCAAGGGATAGGAACTGTCCAACTAAAAATAATCATTTTTCAAGTGCTATATTGTGTCACAGACAATGAAGTGTACTAGAAACTTCAAACAAAAGCAAAGGCAAAAAAAAAAAAAAAGGCAAGCATGCTTTATGGTACAGGGAAGAACACAAGCAAGTACCGGACTTTCCAATCTGTTTTTCATATATATGAAAATACAGAAAGAACATGTGATTTTCTATGTGAACAGACCATAACTGTTCACAAACCATTCACAGGAGAATCTCCACTATTGTTTTAATAAGGGGTTGAATAATCAGCCCTAAAAGAATGAAAAAGCGATGAAGCAACAATATTTACTGGTTTTCACTATTTTTTTTTTACCTGGCATGGAAATCACAGTTGTTTAATGTATCTTTGACAACAACTACATAGCTCTGGTTCACACTTTTCAGCAAAATACATAAATTCAGCAAAACATATTTATCCCCACTGATTCCATCATTTTTTATGAGATCTCATCATAACTAAGACACCAGGGTGACCACTAAATCCCCAGATAATAAAAGGTAAAACCCGTAAATACATGGTCTCATTTGACATAGGAAAAAGTTACACCGCCAGGAGATGCACTTAACAGGCCTTCCAGGTCTTTCAAAATTAAGGGCACAACCTGCACAAAAGAGGGGAGGAAATTCACTTGTTTAAAAAGGACAAACCCCCAAGTATTTTTTTACAAGTAATTAGTGTTTACAGTCATATCAGTGGTTATCTCCAAACAGATAAAAACAGTACTTTTTTAAAAATCTGTGCTGGAAACACTAGCAATAGCTCAGAGAAAGTAAAGCCACACAACACAGGAATAAACTACAAAATGTCACAACTTCTTTCACAAAAGAAAGCATCTTGAAAAACATTGTAGAAATAACAAAAAAAATCAACCCATAAAGTCATACATAAAACCTTACAATGGTCTTTTAGATGACCACAGCAAAACCAAAACACAGAGTAGTTACAGTTTCTTGCACAAGCAACACAAAATGGAAACAACTTTCACCTTTCCTGGGAGTGTCAGGGCTATCAAAAAAGAGGATCAGCAGAAATGAACAAAATAAAGTGCTGCTAATTGCATAAGAATATTATGACTTGCCTCATACTGCAAGAAACAAAACTTACTTAATGCAGCAGCCTCTGAAAAACCTCAAAGTCTTTATCACAATTTGGATTTCAGTAGACAGGCTTGTCATGTCGAAAAACCGTCATTGACAGCCAGTGCCTCGATTGGAGACCTTGGCCTCCAGCACCGCTGGCAGTACAGGTCACAGCTGGAACAGGCTTGAAAGCTGAATCAATGAGAAGTTCCTTTTTTTAGAGGCGAACTGCTGAACCCTACCTAGCTCTACAGGTAGACTTGCTAGCAAACACCAAGGCGTAAGATGGTGTATTTTGAACGCTGTGCTGAAGATGCTAGCCAGCGCTTAGCCAGGCGTTTTCTTCAGTTTCTTTGTATGCTTTCAGGCCGCCGGCCTACCAGACCCCTTTCACCTCGGCCAACAAACGACCACCACCACACGAACACCCGGGCCAGCGCCTCAGGGCTGCAGCTCCCGGTGGGGCGAGTCAGGAGGAGGAAGGCGCCGGCCGCCCCCCGCGGCTGGCGCACCGCCCTGCTCCGCGACAGCCCCGCGCTCCCACCCGCCATGCCTGGCCGAGGCCGGAGCCGGGAATCGCCCCGGGAATCGCCCCGGGAATCGCCCCGGGAGACTCCCGCCCGCCCCGCGGCCTCAGCCCGCGGTCATGGCGCCGGCTCCTCCGCCCGCCGCGCCCCCTGCCGGCGGCGCGGGGCACGCCGGGAGCCGAGCCCCGCCGGGCGGGCACGGAGCCCCGAGGCGGCCGCCCCGCCCGTCCCCTCAACCGCTCCCCGCCGGTACCTGAAACCTTGAGACATCGCTCTGGCCGCGGACGACGGCGTAAAATGGCGGCGGGACCCGATGACGGGCGGGCCCGGCGACGGCACGCCCACGCCGAGAGGCCGAGTCATGGCGCGGGTGGCCCCGCGAAGCGGAGGGTGACGGGGAGACCGGCCGCTCCTGGCACCACAGCAAAACCCACCGACCGGAAGGACCCTCACCTCCGGGGACTGCGGGCGAGAGGCGACGGATGATGAGTTTTAATTTTTATTTTTTTTTTTTCCCCTAGCTCGGTCGCTGATTGGCTGAGCGGCTGAAGGAGTAGCGCCTCCCATTGTTCCATTGCCGCCAGGGGCGGGACGGGGAGGCGGAGCGCGGTTCTGATTGGCTGCGAAGAGAGCGGGAGCCTCTTCCCGCGCCCGCGCCCGCAGGGCTGTGTGGCGCCCGGGGCTGGTGCCGCTTGACCTCACGGACGGTCTCTGCTCAGGGAGGGCGCCCGCAGCCTGGGGGACGGCCGAGGGGGATTTCTGTACAAACAAAAAGCGCCCTGTGGGGGGGGAAGGTGGCCAGGAGCAGCTAGTGAGCTGCAGGCCATGGGGCTTGAGCTACATCTGTGAGAAAATGCAGACCGCACATCCATCTCCATAGCTGCTTGACAAAGTTGGAGCCGTTGCTAGCCTAAAAAGCTGGAGTGACTTTTCTGAAATCGCCCACTTCGCCACCAAAACAGCAGGCAGACCTGTGCCTTCCCAATCACAGCCTACTGTGCAAGCTTCACTCTATACCCTGCTTCACACACGCCTAAAAATGCAACCTTTGTGTGATTGCCCTAGTGCTGCCCTACCACATTACAAACACCCAGGGTCAAAAACATGGACTGGACAATCTGAAGAACCAGATTTGCAAGCTTAGATAGACCTAGTACTGCTACCTGTAGTGTCTGTGCAAATGTACCCATGCCCAAGTAGTCTGTAAAAGCTGTATCAAAACATTTCCACAGTAATAACTCTAATGGTTAAAAGCAGGCACTGTACAGGTACAAGCTGATCCCTATCCTTGGTCTGTGGAAATAAAGATAACATGAACACAGCTTCATCACAACAGTGCCCTGAAGGTTATCTGGGACAGCTTACAGTGAAATCAGGGTTTTTTACGTTTATTTTAGCACTTTGTCTAGAGCGGACATGACCAAGGCCCCTCTTTTCCTAATGATTTTCTTGTATCCAGAAATACCAGGAGACAATTCAAACAGAAAGGAGTGACCCATCTGACGCCTCTCTCCACACCCTAGCCGAGGTAGGTTGGCCTAGGGAAGGTCTGCAAAGCAGAAGCAGCAGTAATGCAAAGCTGAAAGCACAAGTCAAAATAGTTTTCCAAGCATCTGATGTGTCTGTGTCTGCCAGGAACTATGCACTCCAACCCACCCCCTTCCATTGTGCCTCATCCTTCAGTCTGTTTTTCAAAAGCTTTCATCCATGTAATTCATGTCTTAAACCTAATCTCAAAAGAAGAAAACATTGGCTGTCATCACATCACGTACCTTCCTCCTGTCTTGCTTTAGCCCATCCTACACACATTCTGTCTTCAGCTGCAAGCTCTCTGCCCCAGGGACCATCTCTGACTAATATGTTTGTAAGAAACCTACCAGGAGGGTGTCCCATTGTTTAACGCACTCCAAGAACCACCATACGCAACAGTACAACCAATTCATGTTTGTTTATGCTTAGCATAACTTCCCTGAGCAACAAATGAAGAACAGTTGGGCTTGCTGTCAGATATATTTGCTTGGAAAGATAATAGTGTATATTTTAATTACTCTCTATTAATAAATTGTTAAAATGAAGTTTCATGCCCAGTGTTAGCCACGAATTCCAGAAATATTTTTATGTCACACTGAAGGTGATGGAGAGAAACTAGCACCTGCAGGTTGAGACATGCATTTTGACATGCCGTTTGTTTGCTAAGATAGTTTGTTAAAACATGCCCTTTGTTAAGACATGCCGATGGTTTGTTAAAACATGCCCTTTGTTTGTTAAGACATGCCATTCTCTGATAACTTGGGAGTTGCTGGGGGGGGGGGGGGCTGGTTCTGTGGGTTGGATGGGCCCCAAAGTTGTAACTGGGGAAATCTGGTGCCCGGGGCTAGGAGAACATGCGCCAGAGATAAAACCTGAAAAGTTCATGAAGAAGAAGGAGCCTTACTTCATCCTTGAGACCCCAGCCCACGACCACCACGAAGAACTGCGCAGGTGCAAAGAGACGAAGGTTCGGCTTATGGAAGTGATTTCTCTGGAAGTCTATGAATATGTATAAGCGTCTTATGAACATGTATAGTTTGTAGCATAAAGGGAGTAGCCCCCGGTCATATGGGTGTGCGTGTTTGTGGTAGAAGATCCTCCACGCACCCTGTACCGAATAAACATACCTACTTTACAACCTTAAAGGTTGTGGAGTCTTTATTCTGCGAGTCAAAGGAGCAGATGAAACTGTAGTAATAGAAATATTTTACTTACCTTTCAGTTTAATATTTTAACCCTGCAAAACTGCAATAGACCTAGAGGCATTTTTACAGTTACATAACCTGGAGACAGTTATAAAACACAACAAAATTCAAATACAGAATGCACTGGTAAATTTGCAGGAAATGCTGGGACACCAAGCATCTTTGACAGAAAGTCCAATTCCATCATTAGTGATGGTATAGCCTGTACAGGTGTGCTTGATGAGAAATAAGGACCACTGATCACTGGATTTTGTGTAAACCTGATACATTGTGGGTCTATTGTATAAGCCTGATAAAGTGTAGGCCTTGCTAACTACTGTGCTATCGAGGACATGAGAGACTAACAAGAGGTAAACATCCAGCACCAAAGGCTAGATGATTGCCCAAGAAGCATGAAGTCAAAACAGACAGAAAGACAGGCAAGCAGGCAGACAGAAAGAAACCACCCCCAAAAAACACGTGGGGTAACTAGGGGAATTTGCCCCCCACACCTGTAAGAAGCATGTGTGCTAATTTACACAGCAAGTGAGGCTAATTCAAATATAACTAACCAATAGCAGATGGAATGGTAATTACAGACCAATGGGTGTAAACTTAGATAGGTTTTTACTAATCATGTAACAAGATGAATAGGCTGTAGTTCCTTTGTGTTGTGCTAGCTTTGTGGAATTACCCCCTAGCACCCATCTTTGCACAACTATTGAATAAACTGGTATCTTGGCTCTGTATGAGATTGGCTTTTGCACACCGGGTAATGTTTGAGGGACAACAAGGGCAAGGTAAAGCTGTTTCTCATAAGCAGCAGACAGCAAGGACTTGACAGTAATTACTTAAGTAATAACATGGCTTATAATAACCTGCTTATAGCAAGTGTCTGAAATACAGAAACTGCAGAAGGTAGGGTATTGCGGCACTGAGGACAGTGGGGAATGTAAGAAAAAGGTGCAACAGCTGTAATGGTATTGGCTTCTTCAGGGTTTTTTCTCCCAAACAGGAGAGTTGTACGTGCACACATGCTGTTTAAACTAATGCATGCCCTACAGCAGGCCTTAATTTCAAACAAATAGACAACAACAGTCAGTAGGCACACAAGTATAGCTATAAGTAATCATAACACTCAAACTACTTTTTAAACTTATTTTACTTAGAATAACTCTTATCAATACAGATACTAATTATTCCCAAGGAAGGGGGAATCTTGCTTTCCCTGACAATTTGGGAGCACTTCACTGCTTACAATTCCCTTCCTCCAAATTAAGTGAAAGTTAGAAGACACTTACCTCATGACTTGCTCCAAAGAAGTTAGAAAATCATTTGCCTCCTGCCCAATCCCATGCTATTGATTTTCATTTCTATTAGTCCTTTACATCATGCAGTTTGAACACCTACAAATAACCAGAAACTGAAAAAATACAAATCTGGGAAACTTGATAAGGTTTTACAAGTAGATACTGGGCGTATTATGTGTGACTTTCTTTGCTATTTATTTTATCTGTTCCTTGATTGCCTTGCAGAATGACTCATGCTTTTATTTTCCAGCAAAAGCAGGAAGCATCCCAGAGTGCTGAGTTTTTAAGCAATATCCACAGGGAAATGGGTTGCTAACAGCGCAGATGCATTGTGATGAAGAACTGTGATTTGGTCACAGCCCATTAACATCTGAAATGTATCAGTCACAACCATGTGATCTTTGTTATAATATTTTAACGTAAATGTTCTAGAGTTAAAAACCCTGAATCTGAAAGGGCACATATGCTTTTGACAAAGAAACAAAGAAGGCAAAATCAAAGCACCAGTTCTAGTCTATGAAGAAATTGCCTTCTGGCTTTTGAAAGCATAGCTGGACTTCCTGATTGTCCAATTTTCATTTAAATACATCAGTACTTTCAGCTTTTCTTCTAGAAAACCACCCATCACCGAAGAATTACTGTACTTTAACACTAGGAACTAAGTATTTCTGAAGTCTTCAAATGGAAGCTGAAATCATACTGTAAAAAAAAAAAACATATCAGTTTCCTGAACAGTTTTTTTTTGCTTTCAATTTCAGAAGCCACAGAGATAGTTAATACCTCCAATTTATTTGTAGAAAAGGAAGGTTGTTCCTTCCCCTTGTATGTCCCTCACCCAAGGGGTTCTGTGGAGACACTTGCTCATCTGGCAGAAGAGACCTTTTTAGACACACACTCCAGCTTCCATCCCTCCTGGCAACTGCAGCCAACACCTGTGTTAGGCTCTTCTGCGTCATTGCAAATGAGCAGCCAAAGTGTCCACACGTGGCCGATGCACGGAGCGTCAGCAAGTCGCTCATGGAGGAGTGTTAGATATATGGGCCACCAGACATTCACAGACACGGGGCCACCCTCAGCAGTCAGAAGAGGCTATGACCTGTGTTCAACCATTAACTCAAACTTCCTCTTCAAGCAATTTGTGAGAAGAATACAGTTTTCCAGGGGGTTATTTGCAGCCCTAATCTAAATGAAGGAGGAGGTGCTGCAGGTTGAAAAGTTATATAGCATATGACATGCAGGGTACTGCACATGGATGGCCATCTTAAGCCATGAACCTGCATTCATTTTGTAACATGAGTGTTTCAAAGCTCCATATGAAATACTTACCTTAACCACATTCTTTGCATTTCTAGGGTCCTCCTGTCTCATTAATGTGTCTGTTCATTTCCACCTTGTTTTAATATGCCTGACCTCACCAAAGGCACAGCAAAGTGTAAGTCATCCAAAGTCTCTGACCTTGCGTCAAGGGAATCGGTGGGAAAAGATAGTTTTCTG